TCTTACAAAAACATTGATGTTATTCATTTTGTTTTATACTATTTTGTAAATAATGTTGCAACTTGGAAACGTATTTTATATTATTAGACTAAAATACATTTTATTTTATTTATCTGATTTTAAGTACCCCGAAAATCTGGCTCTATTCAATCTGGCTTTCGTAAGAATTACTGAACTTACTCATTTTCTTGGAATCTTTGACGAGTTGTGATCCAAGCTGCTTGGTACTCAGTCCTATCTCTACGTCTCCAATCGATGCCGCATCAAACAAACAACTTGTGTCAACGTTACATTTCGCTACTGCCTCTTTTTTCAGCGAATCATTGTAAAACTTCAAGTCTTCTACAAACATAGGAAGGAACTTTTTATTGAGGAACGTGTCGGAGCTTTCACCTTCTTTGTACGTAAATAGCGAGGTTTCATTGGTAACTTGCCCTGAAAATGGGTAAAAAGATTGTTAACAAAATATAACTTAGAATCTTTCGTTCTCTGCTTTTATGCGCATCTATTATCTGTGTTTATTTCAATGTAGTTCATTAAAAAAGAAACTCGTCATCGCTAATCATCACCGCAAGTACACCAGTGACGCGGCTAAACGGGGTCGAACTGAAAGCATGTGAGGGCTCCTCTGGCAGCCGCCATACAGTCCATGTATGTCCACAGAGCACAGTTCTAACAAGTTTGAATTAGTTAGGTTTGATTTGTGACTGGAGGTGTGATTTTAAAGTTATAAGCAATCGACCCAACAGCAATAAAAGACGAACATTTTAACGGGAATAACTGAATAACGATATATGTTAATGATTAGCTAAATTAAAAAGATACTTCTTAAGATCACGTTTAAAAATAGCCAAATAGCATTTTCACGGTTACTTAAAATAGATATCGCAAAGCCTTGTGGGATCGAAATGCTGACAAACATTACAAATAAAGGCTCCAATTACATGGAAAAGAAGAAGATTATCAGTCGAAAAACCATAGTTCTTCTATGAATTGGAAACAACAAGACTACGAAACATTGTTGCAACTTGTCAACACGTGCGTTTGGCTTGGCTTGTTCGCATTTCACTCCCATGATTCACAATTGTGATGCCATCCGTTGAAAGAGCTATGAGCAGTGCTCTTAATGTTCAGTCAGTGGAAGCGCATTCCATAATCTTGGTGCACAAACTGGAAATTATCTAGAATCGTATCTTTACATTTATCTGTTACGCCATGCTACCCATATCAACCATACTTACAAGCCATTCCATATTTATAGTGAATATCATTGCCATTCATATCGTGTGGCAGTACTGTTCCATTAGGTAAAGTAAAATCATCCTCTGCATTTCCATTCCAAGTTCCAAGAAGACCTTTTGTCTTGTTCTTGAACGACTCTGGAGCAGCAGTGACGATGGAAAGTATGTGTTGTTTTTCGCATATTGTTACTGACATTCCTGAATGAAAGCTCATCTCCAAGCATTGTTTCTTAGGCTTGGAGACCGTAACAGAACCGTTATCGAGATCTTGAGATTCATTGGTCAGGCTTTTGAAGTCAAAAGGTTTTCCATCTACGAGGACTTCCATCGTTTCTGACAATAAAGGAATGCATTACATACATCGTTAATTGGAAAAAAAGAGATTGAGAAGAACTAAAATGAGAATGATAATTTAAAAGCAAGAGCTAGATTTTCCCATGTTTTTACCATTATCATACGGCAAGGTAACTTGAACTGGAACAGAATTGTTCTCTTTGGCTACAGCTCCACTAAACATGGTAGCAGTGCCATTTCCTTTAGCAAGGCTCGTTCGGGCTTGTAGCTGAAAGTAACCATCTTTTGCATCCAGCATGACGTACTCTCCAAGACCGTTGAACGTGTAGTTCTTGCTGTCCAGTGTGACGAAGTGAGGGTCGCCCCAAAACCAACCTTGGAAAGGAATCATAGTAGTTAGTTGGGATTAGTA